AGGGCGAAGGGGGTGGGGTAGGGCGGCTGACGCTCGGTCAAGGGGGAGAGCGCCGGGGAGAAGGGGGTGGGGAGCGAAGCAGGTGGCGAAGCGGCGGGGGAGAAGGGGGAGGGGAGCCCAAGGCCCCGCGGGGGAGGGGAGCGTGTACAGAAAATGCCCCCCCCCCGAGTGGGATTGTGGCTGAGGAAAACCCTACTCGTGGATGACTACCGAGACTACTCCAGCCCACCCCCAGAGGGTCCAGAGAAAGGGCGAACTGTGACCACGACTGGTGCACCCGATTAATTGAATATTAATCACTTCAGGGCCCAGGCCAACTGCCACCCAGAGAGCGGCAACTGCAGAACCCAAAGCTGTCGTGCCGGGCTGGGGGTGGGGAAGGGAGGCCACCTCGCCACACCTCCTGCCCAGGTGACAGTTTAACTGCCTCCGCAGTCCCACCTCAGACTTCCCCGTGCGACCCGGCAGCAACTCGGAAATCGGGGTGGCTTGAGACTGTAAAAAAGACCGCATTTTATTCCAAACGTGCCAGCCCAGGCCTCCACGCCCAGCGTGTGGCGGCAGGATGCCAAGCTGCGTCTGTGCGTGAGTGTACATGTATGCATGCCTGCATTTCAAGGGCTGGCGTGAACGCAGGCGCACAGACTAAACAGGCGCGGTCCTGGAACCCGCGCTAAAGGTAACTTTCAGTTGGTAATTTCCCCCACACCTCGGGAGTGGGGAAAGACAGGGGCTCAGGGGGCGGGCCAGCGCCTTTTTCACAACCTGCACCGAGCAATTCACCAAGTTACACTGGGAGTGGAAGCGAGCGTCCCTCTCAGCTAAAAATATTACTCACAGGTAGCAACGACGCCGGATTGGCCGCGCTGTCCCTTAGCAACCAGGCGATTGGCTGTCTGGTATCCAGGAGACAGACGTCAAACTCACACTGGGAAAAGGGGGGAGGGTTAGAGGGGGAGGGGAGGAGGAGAGAGAGAAGCGATGAATGGAACGCCCCGCTCTCGGCCATCGCCTCCCCCTCTCCTCTTGCACTCCAGGAGTGCTCCCTGGAAGAACACCAGTTGGGGCGCCGCCTTCCCCTCAAAACGGGGGGCTGCGCTCTCAACCTGCTGTAAGGGAGTTAAACTGCAACTCACTGAGCAGTGGGGTGTCCGCGGGGCGGGTGTGTGTAGACCAGCTGTGCTCTTTGAGCACAAACCCGTTTTACGTGTCAGGCCTAGAGGCTTTTCGCTTTATGGATGCAAAATCTGAATGTAGCCGCCTTCTCCAACCTGACCTCCCGCCTCCCCCCTTTTACAAGGAACTGCATTGAGAAAGAATATTTCTAAAGTTTCGTATGCCTGTGAGAAGGGGAGGGATAATGGGTTTGTGGAACGGGC